TGAATTGATAAACTGCGTGCGCATCCTAACCCAAAAAGACGGAGTAAGTTAGACGATCGAACTAAACAGCCGGACGGAACAGCCGGACGGAGTAGCCGAACTAAACGACCCAATGAAATAATTGGACGATAGGGACGGTCGAAATAACCGAACGGAACGATTTAGCTGATACGAACGAAACAGACGAAACATACGAACGGTGCTCGAACGGTGAACGATCGCTTTCTAGACGCTAGACTACCGCTAACCGCACGCAAGCCGCATGCAAGCCGCACGCAGAACGAACTGAACCTAGGTGGATACTTGGGCGTAATTCTAACTGTAACAGTTAAATCTACCTATATCATACTTACAGGTAAATCATCTATATACTATGATACTTACAGGGTAATCTGTCTATACTGATATCATGCTAACAGTTAAATCTACCTATATCATACCTATTCTGTAGCTTTCGTACATTGTAATTACATGTTTTTATGCCTATATCATACTAACAGGTTATTCTACATATATCGTACTAACAAATAAATTTACTCATATCATATTCAATAAGATTCATCAGTTTGGAAATATGTAATGTCATAGTTTTACTTTGTACACAAACAATGTACTAATGTACGTATCAGCCGTGTCGTAGGGTTTCAAGACTCAAAACATGAACAGAGACGAGGGGGACACCAGTTGAGTCATCTGTATGACCCAATACTGACATTACAGGAGAGCTGGGACTAGATCTACACCCTAGTAGTAACCGAATCTCTACAGTGTGTATACACTCTATATAGATAGGTGAAATGTCCCAGGTTGAGTGATATAAGAAATATACAATTTTGTCATATCATTGTACAGATAAACAGTACAAATCGCTCGCTCAGTCTTACCTTAACCAAGGGACCAGTTGGTCTTGAAACATTGCAACACGTTTTATGCGTACATTGCTTGTTTATAAAGTAAAACTTTGATACATATACCCATATCATGCTAACAGGTGAAACTTCTTCCAATATTGTACTAACATATACATCTACCTATATCATACTGACAGGTAAACAAAATAGTATTGTACTGACAGGTGAAATATACCTTTATTATACTAACAGGTATATCTACCTATATCGTACTGAAAGGTAAATAAAATAGTATTGTACTGACAGGTAAAATCTACCTTTATTATGTTAACAGGTAAAATTTACCTTTATTATACTAATAGGTAAATCTACCTATATCGTACTGACAGGTAAATAAAATAGTATTGTACTGACAGGTGAAATATACCTTTATTATACTAACAGGTAAATCTACCTATATCGTACTGACAGGTTAATAAAATAGTATTGTACTAACAGGTGATATATACCTTTATTATACTAACAGGTAAATCTACTCCACGTACTTACACAAATGTATTTTATTTACAGATACATTACATGTTATTTACTCTGCTCATTCTATAGAAAGAAAACTGACCCTCCATTCTGTCTTACAGGGCTGTCTCTGATTGGTCTACAGATGACCAATGCCATGTCCTACGTTGCTGCCCCCGTCCAGCTGTTAGTGTTCAGCGCCCTCATTGTTGCCGTGGATCCTGTTGCTGTAAGTTATTTTAAGTTTTATAGAGCAATAGAAAATGTTAAAGTGTACATATCCTGTTTACCAGGAGACAAAGAGAGTTTGACAATATTTGGAACCACTGTGGATGTCCAAGCACAGGAGTTAACGGCAGTCTCGTGTCAGGCATCTAAAACCGGATATTTTTGCAGGCCAGTGATGTTCATCATTACTGCTCGGTCAAATCTTTTATTAAATGTTGTCATTGTCTAAAATTTCAAAGAAAGCTATTCCAGTACAAAACACTGTTAAACCCTGCATGTTCTTCTGATCATCAGTAATGTTAGTGATAGTGACGATGATCAAAGGGAGATAACTTATTTCTTGACCTTTCAGGTACTGGCCGTGTTTAATGAGGTTGGAGTTAACAGAGTCTTATATTTCCTTGTTTTTGGGGAGTCACTGCTGAACGGTGAGTTATCAGAGTCTTATATTTCCTTGTTTTTGGGGAGTCACTACTGAACGGTGAGTTATCACAGTCTTATATTTCCTTGTTTTTGGGGAGTAACTGCTGAACGGTGAGTTATCAGAGTCTTATATTTCCTTGTTTTTGGGGAGTCACTACTGAACGGTGAGTTATCAGAGTCTTATATTTCCTTGTTTTTGGGGAGTCACTGCTGAACGGTGAGTTATCAGAGTCTTATATTTCCTTGTTTTTGGGGAGTCACTGCTGAACGGTGAGTTAACAGAGACTTATATTTCCTTGTTTTTGGGGAGTCACTACTGAACGGTGAGTTATCACAGTCTTATATTTCCTTGTTTTTGGGGAGTAACTGCTGAACGGTGAGTTATCAGAGTCTTATATTTCCTTGTTTTTGGGGAGTCACTACTGAACGGTGAGTTAACAGAGACTTATATTTCCTTGTTTTTGGGGAGTCACTACTGAACGGTGAGTTATCACAGTCTTATATTTCCTTGTTTTTGGGGAGTCACTGCTGAACGGTGAGTTATCAGAGTCTTATATTTCCTTGTTTTTGGGGAGTCACTGCTGAACGGTGAGTTATCAGAGTCTTATATTTCCTTGTTTTTGGGGAGTCACTGCTGAACGGTGAGTTATCAGAGTCTTATATTTCCTTGTTTTTGGGGAGTCACTGCTGAACGGTGAGTTATCAGAGTCTTATATTTCCTTGTTTTTGGGGAGTCACTGCTGAACGGTGAGTTATCAGAGTCTTATATTTCCTTGTTTTTGGGGAGTCACTGCTGAACGGTGAGTTATCAGAGTCTTATATTTCCTTGTTTTTGGGGAGTCACTACTGAATGGTGAGTTATCAGAGTCTTATATTTCCTTGTTTTTGGGGAGTCACTGCTGAATGGTGAGTTATCAGAAAGGTCATTCCATTAATTTACTGCAATTATCTGGGGCTCACTGAGTCAATCTTGACTGACCAAAAAATGGCTCATCAAGCTTATCGTGACTGACCAAATGGCCCAATACATTCATTTATGACTCATCAGAGGGTTCAATGAGTTACCTTGATTGACCAGAATGCTCAGTGGTTTAATCTTGACTACTCACTAGTGGCTCAACACATTAATTTTAACTAACAATTTGACTATGATTTAGTCATGACTGACCAATGGCACAATGAGCTAACCTTGACTGAACAGAATGCTCAATTAAGTTTGATCAGGACTGACCATATGGCTCAATCTGCTGTTTATCTGTTGAGTAAATATTGAGTCGTCTTTAATGTTTACTGGTGTTTACATCACCTGAAATGTATTCATGTACTTTATAAGCAAAACTCGGGTTTGTAGAACAAATCTTGTATCAACTTTTTTTTTCAGGGGTCCTGTATATTTGACCTTGGTTGACCTTGTATTTTGCAGATGATGTAACAGTGGTCCTATATATTTGACCTTGGTTAACCTTGTATTTTGCAGATGATGTGACAGTGGTCCTATATATTTGACCTTGGTTGACCTTGTATTTTACAGATGGTGTAACAGTGGTCCTATATATTTGACCTTGGTTGACCTTGTATTTTGCAGATGGTGTGACAGTGGTCCTATATATTTGACCTTGGTTGACCTTGTATTTTGCAGATGGTGTAACAGTGGTCCTATATATTTGACCTTGGTTGACCTTGTATTTTGCAGATGATGTGACAGTGGTCCTATATATTTGACCTTGGTTGACCTTGTATTTTACAGATGGTATGATGGTGGTCATGAATATTTGACCTTGGTTGACCTTGTATTTTACAGATGATGTGACAGTGGTTCTGTATATTTGACCTTGTATTTTACAGATGGTGTGACGGTGGTTCTGTATATTTGACCTTGTATTTTACAGATGGTGTGACAGTGGTCCTGTATATTTGACCTTGATTGATTGTATTTTACAGATGGTGTGACGGTGGTCCTGTATCATGTCCTCCAGTCCTATAACCTGATTTTACAGGAGCGAGCTATTACAGCCGAGGATGTAAGCAGATGTTCATTACATTACATTGAACAATGTGTCAGGAAAATTTTAAAAGACATATATTACAATAAACTGTAAAAACAGATAAGAAAAAACATTTTTCCTGTGAATATTCCTGAAATATAAAAAAAAAATCCTATTCTACCATGAAGTTTAATGCTTAATTAAACCATGAAAACTAGGTTATGTATAATCCAATAATGGGAGAACAACAATATTATTTCAAATTTGATTTTTATGGGAAATTAAGAAGGAAATTCTCTCAGTCACTCTATTGAATATTTTATTTTAAAAACTTAAATGAAATCTTTTGTTATATTTTGCAGATCCTGCTTGGTTTTGTGAAGTTCTTCTTGGTGTGCTTTGGCGGGCTTTTTATCGGATTGATTGTAGGAGCGTTGTCCTCTGTACTGACCAAGTATACAAATAATGTCAAAGGTTAGAGACCTTTCATCACAGTCATCATATCACAGTCATCAATGGAAAATCTGTGTTTAGGGACTAATAATGACACCAAAACCACTCTGATGACAACTAAGTGTACTGTTGCTAGAAACAGAATTCCACAATCACACCCTGTGTTTATACTCCAGGGGCCTAATATTTAGCTTATGTCATGGTCCGGCTTATAGAATCTTCTTATTTAGCTGGTGGCTTCCTTGGATAGAGCCCGACAAAGTTTGAGAATGAAACGACCTTGACTTACTTTCAAGGTCACAGGGGTAAAATGTAACAAACACTTCAAACGACTTCCTCTGAAAAACTGAAAGGTATAGAATCTTCATATTTGGTTAGTTGCCTCCTGGGAAAGAGCCCAACAAAGTTTGAGAATGAAAATGACCTTGAACTACTTTCAATGTCTCGGGGTCAAATGTGTCAAACACTTAAACCGACCTCTTGTAAAAAATTGAAAGGTTTAGAATCTTCATATTTGGCTGGTTGCTTCCTGGGATAAAGCCCGACAAAGTTTGAGAATGTAAATGACCTTGACCTACTTTCAATGTCTCAGGGGTCAAATGTGTCAAAATTCAAACGATTTCTTCTGAAGAACTGAAAATTATAGAATCTTCATTTATGGCAGGTTGCTTCCAGAGATAGAGCCGGACAATGTTTAAAAAAGAAAATGACCTTGACCTACTTACAAGGTCAGAGTGGTAAAATATGTGGTCAAATACACTTCGAACAACTTCTGGAGAAGAAAACTAAAAAGCATAGAATCATACAATAATATTTGGCTGGTAGATTCAACAGATCGAGCCGACAGAGTTAGCGAGTGAAATATTTGTAGTACAAGATAATATTTAATGAGAATATTTTGCTATGACTGCTTAAATATTCAGGTGAGCGATACAGGCCCTCTTGTTTATAGATTTTGATGAAACTGCACTTGTATGTTTTGCAATAGCTTTGAGCTTCCTTGCACAGATTCAGATATGAGTATGCTTGTCAAAGGTCAAGGTTACATACTATTACAGAAAAATTGACTTTCACAATGTGTTAAAGACTGGTGGAGAATTTTGTGAGCTTCGCTTACTTCCTGTTACTGGGTTTTGGTATAAAGATGTGTACTTTGTACCAATGTAAAAATAATTCTCCACCTGATACTTGGATTTCAAATTTTCACAAAAGTAAAAATCACAGAAAAGAAGTAGAATAAAATAGTATTTATTCATATAAATTTGTTGTTTGGTTATGTTTTATATGTATGTAAAAAGAGTGATATATAATGCTTGTTACATCATAATGTCGCCCTCATCAAGGTTTACCTGTGTATTATGTAATTACCTGCTGTTGTTTCAGTGATTGAGCCTGTGGTTGTATTTGGGACAGCCTACATAGCGTTTCTGCTGGCTGAAATGTTCGCCTTCTCCGGGATCATTAGGTTAGTGTTTGACCTTTTTTTATTTATTATATAAGTCGAACTTCAATAAATCAAACTTCTTGATGTCAAACAGAGTTTACCCCTTATATAACACTACTAATATTCGTCACGTGAATCAAACCTTTATAACTCAAATTTCTCGCTGTGACGAAGTATATAATCAAGGCCCAATCGCTATGAAAATATTGACAATTGCAACTAGTAAATCCAAGTGAAATAATCACCTGTACCAGAACATTGAAATGTCCCGCGGTTATTTTAATAGCACAGGCCTTGGGAATTTAATTGACAAAGCAATATTGAATTTGGTAAGAAATCCAATATTTATATTTAAAATTAAATGTATTAGCCTGTGTTTTGTCACTTATTTTAAGAATCACAGTCTTATTTACAGGATCTTGATGATTCATGAGTCAAAGTCCTGGTGTTTCAAATTTTTTCCAGATTGTCCCACAAAGTTCGAAACATGCTGTGCAAAGTTCGGTTATATTCTTTTCTAAAGTGCTGGGCCCGTATTCGTGAAACCGCTCTCATGCACAAGCATGGATTATGTGCTCAAACAGCCTTTCTCGTAACTGTCTTAAATCATGTCAAATGATCAAAATGTCAAAAGTAAATATTGTATTCAACTTTAAGTGTCTTCATTTTTTTTCCAAATCACTAAAAAAACAAGATTTATTGTTATGTTATAACCGTAACAAACACAAGCCTTGAGCACAGAATCCGTAGTTGAGCACAGAATCCGTAGTTGAGCATGAGAACGGTTTCATCAGTACGGGTCCTGGATGTGAAAAATCTTGTAACCAATTATATTCCTGCTTCTTTCCAAGTTAGGTATGTTACCTGGTGTTACATACTTGCTATGTTATTTTGATGTGATTTCCGTTTCCAGTATTATTGCTATGTTATTTTGATGTGATTATTGTTTCCAGTATTATTGCTATGTTATTTTGATGTGATTATCGTTTCCAGTATTATTGCCATACTTGCTATGTTATTTTGATGTGGTTATCGTTTCCAGTATTATTGCTATGTTATTTTGATGTGATTATCATTTCCAGTATTATTGCCTGTGGAATTGTTCAAGTCGCCTATGCCTTCCCAAACATCACAAACAAATCTCGGGTTACTGTGAAATTCTTCACCAAGGTCCTCAGGTAACACTTGGTTGTGCTGTATAGCGCTAGTTTGGTGTGTATTTCATATTTCACGAATTATGTCTGGTTGCTTAATTCATGAGAACATGTACATGTATCCACCATTGAAAGGATGTATTTTTTCTCAATATTGAAAGCAATTATATCAGGGAATTGATATTCATAACAGATTTAAATTCACTCATTATATAGCCTACTCGCAATTCAACACAAAAATTCATCTGCTATGAAAATAAAAGAATTTTCTGTACAATTCATTTCTTCCTCACAGCATTTCAAGATATGTTGACAAAATAAAGGTTCGAGCTGTAGCTTCCTTAATGCTGAATATCCTTAAATGATCTTTAAAAATTTCATTGATAAATTAAATAAAAACCTATATTGATGCAGCACCAGTGTCCTTTATCTTTCTCTAATATGATTTCTATATTTACAGTACAATCAGTGAGATCATCATCTTCCTGTTCCTGGGATTGTTTTTTGTACAAGAACATAGTTGGAACACTGGGCTGACTCTGTGGACAGTCCTCTTCATCACCGTGTACAGGTTTGGGGGTAAGTTAATACAGGTCCTTCATCACCATGTACATGTTTGGGGGTAAGTTAATCAAGGTTCTTCATCACCATGTACAGGTTTGGGGGTAAGTTAATCAAGGTTCTTCATCACCATGTACAGGTTTGGGGGTAAGTTAATCAAGGTTCTTCATCACC